CGCACGCATGGAAGCACACGACACACGCACGTGTGTCAAAAAATCGACTTTCTTCCAGAATTAAAAAGAAATTAAAAAAAAAAAAAGATTTACAACTATTTTTAAAAAAATTTCGGGGCATGAGTTAAAATAGAAAGGGAATTTATGAATAATAGATATATAAAAGAGACTTTCAGTTGATTAAATTTCAATATTGATACAATACAAACATAATTAAAATAACATACGTCTTCAAGTAATCCAATGGCAATGCAATTAGAGTGGTCGACTCAGGAACGTCACATGGGTCCTGTACGTAGACGTGAGGCAGTTTGAGTCCCAACAAAAGGATACTTTCACTACTTGCATGTTAGGGGCCGTCCATTAATCTCGTGATCAATTTTTATAGGTTTTTGGTTCTCTCCTTCCCTCTTTGTGACACAAGGAGGTATTCTGAAATTACCTACCCTCCTCCTGCATACCAACATTACATGAATTTTTAGTACCTAGAAAAATGAGATATCTTACTAAACCCTGCCTCTTACCATGTAACATTTTGTGTTTTTTTTTTTAGGGCATAACACCCGCCCCAAATCTTAATGATTGACTCCACAAAGGTACAATGCCTGTACAACTAAAGTGTAAGAGCATCCTCTCATCAGAAGCCGGTTATCCATGGGTGGGGCAGTCATCCACTAGAGAGGTAGGGTAGACCCAAACCTATTTAAAGATACATCTAAAATTTAATTTCTTACTAATGTTATATCTATAAATGAGATTAATGTCGGTTATAACATTCAAAGCAAATTCATTTATTATCCACCAATATTCATATAAAAAAATATCAAGCAGATCATACAATAATAAAAACACTTTGCTTAGCTTAGATTAGCAGATCAAACTTCAATTGTTAAGTAATATTGTGCTATCTCTGAAGTGTGATAATATTTCGAAAAAATTATATAAAGTGCCCAAAAATATTTGAACAAAAACAGTTGAAGATATAACAGGTACGATCGGCTGTTTACGTTTCAGCCAAAAATTTCTTCGTAATTAACTGTTAAATTTTTTTTTCAATGAAATTTTTTATTTTCATAGATATCATGGCCCTAAAGAACATACTAAAATGTTACGGCCCTACGGCAAGTAGTTTAATCTAAAAAATTCAATGTTTGAAAAAATATGATATTCAAAATTTATGTCAAAAGTCACTTTTGTGATGTGATAAGTCAATTAGAAATGGCTTTGGAATTAACAAAAAAAAAAAAGTAAATGAACAGTCTTTCACTAAAGAACATAATAAAAATATAGAAATGCAAATTAATACACAAAATGAAATATAACAGAATTAAAACAAGTACAACATAGACACAAACAAGATATACATGAACACTACACTAGACACAACACAACAATTCTCATATTGAACAAAAAAGAATGAAGAAATTGAGAAGAAATGTTATATGGAGCGCTAGTAAAAAATATAATGAATTGCCAAATTATATTAAGCTTAATATCTAGATGACCAACGATGACAATAAATTTAAAAGAAAAATAAAGAAATATGAGGAAATTGAAGACAAAGAAGACTGAAGAGTTATATAAAGATATTTTAATTATAATAGATATTATATTAATGAAATAGTCAAATAAAATGTACGTATAAAATATGAATACTGTTTTCATAATCTTTCATACCAGGCACCTCTGTCTGTCTGAGATATGAAAATAATGTATATATGTATATATATATATATATATAATATATATATATATATATACACACACACACACACATATATATATATATATATAAACAAAAAAATAAATATTAGTCAAGTTTGAAATAATATCAATAAAAAAAACAGTCTACAAAAAATGTTACCAGTCATTTAAATCATTAATACTATAAACATGAATTACATAATCGTGACAGTATTATCTTAGAGCAGATGCTTTATTTCACAAAATAATTTATTAAGTTTTTTTAAAAAAAATGTTTCAATGTTTTTCATGAAATTTAACATTGCGATAAAGTACATGCACTAAACAGCTTTACGAAAGTTGATTGAATTTTATAGATTAATTAAAATTTTTAATATGTTACAGCTTTAGGACATACAAGCACATATCTGTGTGCTATAATTAATATAATCACAGATATTACAAATGTGTTTGAGAGATATTAATTGGAAATCAATATTTGTTGACTTAATTGAAAGCAAAAAATTGATTTTTAAAATGAACAGTTGAAAATTTTATCTAATTATGTAAACCCCAATTTAGATTGATTAAGTCATTTATTACACCTATCGTCACTTTCAACTAGTTAAGTTATGAGTTGTTCCTATAATTTTATTATGTATACATGTATGTTTAGAAATTAGCTTCAAATTAATTTTAATGACATAAAAATCTTCTTCGAACATCGTCAATTGAAAGTTGCCTTTTGAAATGCCTGCACAAATCTTAACAGTGCTCGGTGGATAGCAGTTAACATATCTAAAGTATTATCCAAATTATACTTAATTGCAAGATCGATATCAATGCAGCAATTTTTATTCATTTTGCATTAATAAACTTTTAACTGCTACAATGCAGCCCATTTACATGCTTAATTGTTTGGTAGATAGCAAGAACAGAACCTGTAATGAAATAGTGATCATATATATATATATATATATATATATATATATATATATATATATATATATATATATATATATATATATATATATATATATGGAATATTTAACAAAATATTAGTTAGACTATTAACAGTATTTTGGCATACCTCAGGAAAACTGGATGTGTGTGTTTTGTATGTTCGCATATTTTCGTCCACATTTTCGGACGCACGTACATGAACACTACACTAGACAACACAGCAATTTTCACATTGAACACACTAGAACTATTAACAGACAATTAACTAAATTAACATTAATGATAAACATAATTAAATGTTAAACATATGTAAATTAGGTTTTGTAAAATATTGTTGATCATATGTAAAATATGTCAATAATCACACATAAATTCACTAATTAAACTGTTATCAACACATAGCACAAAAACACAAAAAAGTAAGCATAATCGAATGCATTATGTTATGTTGGGTTGCATTTGTATGCAATTATGTTTACTTATCTATGATCGTATATCGAATGATAAAAAGCCGCGCATAGCGCCATAGATAAATAAACATAAGTCGTGCAAACAGCCCACAGCGCACCACAGCGTACGAGATTCGATAGTCGTAGACATAGATAAGTAAACATAAGTAGACGCCGTAGACGCACCAAGGCAAAAGAGACAGTTCCGTGTGGTTCCGTGTTGCCGCGCTCGAGTTCTAGTCGACGGCAGTGCCACCATCGGCGCCAAATTTAAAATAACACAAAGCGCAAATTCAAATCGACGAAATATTATATATAATATCTGTCAAACATTTTCAAATGAGTTTTTGTGTTTATTAACTTCCCGAAGAAGAAGTTTGTTTTCATAAAAAAAAATCCAATTCGCTAATTTTATGTTTTCTCGACGTTTCAAGCCATTCTGAATCGAATGAGACACAATATGGAAAAAGTATGTGTGTATTTGTGTATCTGTGTGTGTGAACAGATTTTTTGCCGTAAATCGGCGTTTTCTCAAAAATGGCTGGACCGATTTCAAACATTTAAAAGCCATTCGATGCATCTCGATGAGAACAATTGTGTGTCAGTACGACGATTGTCCAAGTCGTTTCTTTATAAATAGCAGAAACGTAAAAAATTCTTCGTTCACGTTTTAGCCCGCAATTCTGAATCGATTTTGAAAATTCAAAAACAGTTCGAAAGATATTGGTTGGGAATCGTGCTGATTAGTTTTTGATAGAGATCGGCCGTGCCGTTTTTTTTTTTATAAAGTGTTAAAAAAAATTTTCGACGATTTTTATAATTATTTTTTTGACGGTAGATTTCTTTTTTCTTACTTTGTTGTTGTTTTTGTGTTCCGCTCATGTCTTCCTGCTAACATCCTGGTCTCCTTTAAAGAGTTGCCACAGCCGTTGCTATTGCTCGCATAATTCACTTGTTGATCCGCAAAAAATTCGTCGGTTCCAACAGAATTAGAGCTGCCTCGTCTTTGTCTTGAAGCTCCTTTTGGGCGTCGTAATTTTTACCACTGGATCTGTAAGATTAGTTGAATTAAAATGCTATTATTATGCGCATATATGGTGTTGATAATAAGATTTAATAAAATATTTTAAGCACCTTACATATGTTTATTATTCCTTCTTCTGTCATCTGCCGTCCATCCATCGCTTTCGGATTATTGACCCCTTGTAGTACACATTTTTCAACCATTTGTGTATGTTACATTCGGTTAATACGTTTTCTTGAAATATTGTGTCAAGGTCAAATAAAAATTTAAACATTTAAATAATTAATTAATTAATTAATTTTAAACATTATTTTCATTTTCATCACCTTCATATAACATTCTAAATTGCATCAATCCAAATTTCATATCAGCACAATACTTTTCCTAGACTATCGCTTGTTTAGGGATACAAAAAATAGTATTAAAATTATATAAGATAATGATATTATAATGACATAAAAAATAATATTCATGATATATGTTTATAAAGCAAATTTTTATTACATACATACATTTTTTTCACATCTGCAACATTAGTGTAAATATTACTATACATAGAACAAATCATTTAATTTTATATAAAATTGTTTTAACTTATAAAAGTTTTTTCCCTAGAAATAAGGAAATAAATAAGCTCTGAAGCTTATAACTTTATTTAACTTCTGTAAGAACATAATTGTATAGTTGTTTACTATCTAGTAGAATTATTAATGTAATATATAATTATTTCAATACTATCATAAATCATGGAACATTATACCATATTTAAAATTACAATAAAAATTTACTTATATTCTTATATCATTTTCAAATAGTAATTTCTTCATTAGATATTATACAAGTTAAAGACATAATTATGCAATTGTTTGTGTAACTTAAAAATTTATAGGATAGATCATCCTAACCTAGAATCAATATTAGAGCACATATATGTTTTATGTTACATAAAGTTTCAGTAACAACATTAAAGTGCTGCATTTCTATAACTTTCGCTACTTCTAATTAATTCTAAACTATAAACAGAGATGTACCATCTTTTTGGCATTTTAACACATCACCTAAAGTTATTAGATATTATACCTAGTTTTTAAAACAATTCTGCTAAGCAGTAAAAACATCCAAAAGCTAACAGTTATATTAAAAAAAATAATGATATAGAAAACTAATTATTAAATTCTTGAAGGCAAATGCACCAAATAACTTCCTCGTCTGGAGCTATTGGATTCTTCTTGCTTTAGTCGCCATTGCCTTTTGTCCATCTGAATATCGCTATAGGATCGATCTAAAAGAGATAAATGAAATTAACAAGTTAGAATATAAAAATGAGTTATTATTGAAATTTTGTATGAAATTGTATAATTGCATCTTTTGACAAATATGTCGGTAGAATATCAATTTTTTTTAGAGCAAAAAAATAATTAGTTAGTAGTAGACATTAATTTTTATTTCATTAAAATAAATAATACTTTAAATTATTATATAATTAATATAACTTAGCTTTAGTTCATATATAACCATAATAAAAAAATATTTAAATATTTTAGTTCCTTGACATATATTTTAATCTTTTGAGAACAGGATCAATAGTCGCCTTTTACGAGCGGGCAAAGAAATTCTAACTAACTTCTACTTATAATTAGATTCTAAATAGATGCTTATAAGATGGCAAGTAGATTTCCATCAAATTCTTACCAGAAACTTCTCTGAACCTGACTGGATTCTAATTAGATTGTTAAAATATCCTATTTCAATGCTGCATCATATTTTAATAACATAATTTATCGCCGTAATCGTAATAAACGTATAATTAAATTTAATAACTAGTGGTGTATGGCATCGTGTCTTAAAACAAATTGCTGGAACTTCCCGTACCCTAACAAAATTTTCGAAAAATATTAAATGTTTTCAAATAGATTATTATAAATACTGTATATAAGTGAGCTTCAGAACTTTAGCCAGAATTAAAATGGAAATTTGAATTATTTTCGATAAAAAAATTTTGTTTGGAAAAAGAAAATTATTTTGAAATATATTTTTTTCTCCAGGATCAATTTTTTTGTCAACACAAGCAGAAGGTTTTTTAAATCATTCAAATCGGATGCTTAGTTCTCTCAAAAACTGCCATTTTTTGTACATTTTGCTCTAAATCTTCCAAATGGCTAGACCCGCCTTTGCCAAAAACTAATCACCACTTCTCTCAATCATAAATTGAATGTTGTTTGAATAATTGAAATCAGATACTTCGTTCTCTCAACAACTGGATTTCTATTTTTTGCACTCTTTGCTTCGTATCTCCGCAACAGCTGAACGTGCCTTTGCCAAAAACTAATAAGCACATCTCCCTATCAATAGGGATCGTATGTTTTTAAACCATTTAAATCGGTTAATCCGTGCGCCTGAAAACGTGGACAATAAATTACCTCAGAAAAAATCCATTTTTTCTGAGATATGCCAAAATGTTCAGAAACCTCTAAAACGTGAAAATATGCTAAAATTTTCATTTTCGATTTTCGGCCCATTACTATAACTTACCCTACGGATAGTTAATAATATTATTCAACTATAATGTTTAGGAATTACCTCTATGTTTGAATAGTTGCTCTTGCAATCTGACATTACTCAATGCCGAATGTTCATATTTTTCACGCAGCAAAGCGGCGCCATTTGTGTAAACCTCTTCGTTGTTCATGTAATTATGAACGTTTTGCGGACGATCCACGTAATATTTCTCACTATAATATCTTTCAGTTTCATCTTCATTATCTAAATACTTGTTTCGATTTTCGCAATATCCATCGAAATTCTTTTTCGGGGTTTCTTGCTTCATGTTCGATTCTAATGTAGATGGATTCCCATTTAGGTTGTACAGATGCTTTTTGCTGAAACATAAGTAGAATACAATTTAAAATTTGTAACAATATAGGTAGGTTTTTATATATTCCTACTTTTATATTCAGAGCCGATCCTACCTTGAATGCGATGCATGCGAAAAATGCGGATGCATGCGAAAAATGCGGGCGCATACCTTACGGGGCGCCAACACGAGATTCGGATATAAAATTTATAATATAGTTTGTTCGATATAATTAAAGAAATATATAATTTCTTTAATCTTTTACCAATCTTTGAGCAAAATTTTTAAACTACCTTAAAAATTTAATTTTAAAACAACAGTCTGATACACGATGGGAATGTAAAGATGAATACATACAATTCGGCCCTTTTAAATAATGAAAAATTAAATTTAAAAAATCCAACATAAAGTACGAGTGTTTATGTTTAACTATAAAAGGCTTTTTTGCTCTTTGGGCAAATTGGCTTAATAGAATAACATAAAATCCCCAAAATAAATAAGTAAAATGTTTCAAAGCCCAAATATTAATACTACACATGCATTCGAAACAAATAAAAATTTAAAAATATACTGGCACACAATAATGAACTTACTGAAATTTTTGGATGATCTAAAAGGTTTAGAATGAAAATAAAAATTTAAAATTAGTTCGGCAGTACGACAACGACAGAAGACGCAATAATTTGATTATGAGCACTCGCGAATCACTTCGATCTTCTAAATAAATGTATTTTATGCGCTTTTTTGTGCAATAAATCCAGAATTATTAAAAAGTATTTCAAAAATTAATGTGAATGTTTATATAATTTTGATGGTAAACTGTTAAAACAGTTAAAATGATAAGGGGATAGGGGGCGCTAGAAAAAAATTGCATGCAGGCGCTGAATACCCCAGGACCGGCCCATAAATAAACTGATGATGCTATGTAATTGATATTGTCAAATAGATATTCGCGACACAAACAATACTTATATGTATTGATAAATACTTATACTTAAAATCAAGAGTAAGATCATGAAATAAGGATCATTTTAAAAATGATGAATAAAAATAAAAATGGGAATTGTAAAAGTGAATATTTAAAGAAATCATAATTTTTTTTTGATAAATTTTTTAATCACAATTTAGAAAGCAAGACAGCATGCATGTCGTAATATTCTTAGTATGTCAAAATGCAGATATTACTTGGAAGCGTTGCTTCTGAAGGAGCCACCAGGAGTGAGCATGGTGCCGCGTGAGCTGCTGTCCCCGGTGTTAGTATTTCCGCAGTTGGTCGAACCGCTCGAATTCGTCCCTTGGGTGTTGGCCGTCATGGATTTGTGGTGCTTGTAAGCGGCACGTCGCGGCGATTCATTAGCCACTGGATTAAAAACGGACATCAATATTTAGTAAAGGTAAAATATTATAACCAAACATAACATAATTAAATACAAAATTATATTTATCAAAGAAAAAACCCAAAACAGCGTAAAGGAGAAGTTTATGTTTTCGCTAGAAAATCCGATTTGCCAATTTCATGTTTTCACGGCATTTCAATTATGAATCGAATGAGACTAAATTTGGAAAAAGTATGTGTAGGTATGTGAGCCGATTTGTCGACCTTAAATCTACTTAGATTCTAACTATTTTATTCTAATTGGATTACAACTACTAAAAAGATCCTAAATAGATGCTAACTATATTCTAACCAGGTTTTATCTTAAGGGGGTTGTTCGTTTTTTATTTTTCTTTGTTTCGGTTTTGAGATTTTTTTATATTATGAAAGCTAAAAACCTTAGAATTATTAAAAAAAAAATCATCTCAATATCTATTTTTTTGACGAAGTTATAGATATATATATATATATATATATCTATACGTATGATCCTCTGAAAGCGTTTTTTTATCGCTCCGCGAGCTATTGTATGCCAGCTGCTCTCTTTTTCATTATAATACCTCATGTACATGACCTTTTTAATGTGTCATCATCTTTGAACACCATGGTGTATTTCGTACATTAAATTAAATGGTGTATTTCTTATGTGAAATCTAATTACACATAAGAAGTATCGCAATTGTAATAATGCCATAAGGCAGATGTAAAAATTAAGCAAAAAAACATACAGCACTATACTATGTAAACAATTGCAATGTTTTTATACAGTTTAGAAAGAAATAAATCATTTCTGTAAAATCACAATTTTTATTCTAAGAAATTCAGGGTCAAGTATTTTTCAAATGAATGAAATGAATTCAGTGCCACGCAATACTTAGAATTCAATAAATAATTCATTTTGAATTAACCAGAAACTTACTATTTGGTGGGGCCATGAAGAAAACATCGCGATAACTTGAAGGACGAACCTCACCCTTGCAGGTCGAAGGTGGAGTGTCTAAGCCACTGTCGCAGCCAGTGAGATCTATGTCGGTCAGCACTGAAACAAATAAATATACAGTTATAACAATACAGTATTTACGATGCTAAGTATTTAAATAATTGTAAGATGATTTGTAATGTCAAGAGTTACAAATAATTTTTGACAATACTAATTGCCTTAAGGGGGCGTATGTATGTATATATGTATCTACTTTTTTTTTCAGATTGTGAAAGGGCTGAAATCATGTGTATGGTCAGATGCTAATTTTTTGAGACCTCCCATTTCATCACCATCTACAATTCAAACTTTATGATTATTTTTTAATTGAAGCAACCTGACCCTGACACGGATACTGCACGAGAGAGACCAGGACAAGGTAGCATCCAGGACAAAAGGCTAATGAAGTAATAAAAAAGCATAGCCCAACAAAAACTAACTGGAAAATTTGAATGAGAATGTGGTGCTGGAGACAATAAAGTGGACAGACAAGGTAACCAATGAAGAAATGCTAAGAAGAGACGGTGAAGAAAGAACTCAACTCTGAGCACGGTGCTGAAACCGGACCCATTCTGCAAAAATAGTGCATCATAAGTGACGTCGTGTAAGATAAAACAGAAGAACTGGAAGCAGTATAAAGAAGGAATATGCAGATAATTTATGACTTGCACGAAAAGCGAACTAAAAGTTGAAACACAGGACTAGGAAGAATGGACTCCCCAGTTTGGAAAGAAGGATGAATAGTGTATAAAATGTGTAAAAACGAATAACGTTAATTGTAATAATAAATAAAGGAGTATTTGTGGTACTATCACAACATGGCCATGCATACAATCATTTATCATTAATGCTGGAAATCAGGAACCGAGAATCAGAAATCAGGATGTGTTGATCATTTCAGCTTCTTCAAAAAACAAAATACGCACATTTAAGAGGCCAGGACTAAAATTGCAAATAGCAAAGCAACCTCCACTAAAAAGACGAAAACAGATAGCAAACTGATGAGTCCCGGCAGAGCACCAAAAATAATAATCTTATATTTGTTATACTATTTTAACAATCATATTTCAAATAATTTTGATAACCATGTTAGAAATTATATAATACATTTAACTTACGCGAAAGTCTATGATCTAGCGGACCCTGCGGCTTCCGATAAAAATCATTAGTGGCGCCACCGCTCGTACAAGGGGGCCGACGCATTGTGACTTCGCTTCCATTGCTCAGATCCGGTACCGAATCACAGAGTGGAAAATGACTTGTTGGATTCACTATTAGAAATAAAAATAAAATCGTCTAATTAGATATTTATACAAAAAATCGATAATATGTTAATTGATAAAGAAAAGTGTCCAGGATTGACTGGAGAAGAAGAGCTATTTTTATATGCAGTGCAAATCCGGCACGATAATTGGTCGTTATGCTAAACCGGAACGGTAGAGAGCTATTTATACAAATATACAACTTCAAAATTAAATAATGATATCTTTTAATAAAAAATATACATAACAAATAATATTTAAGAATATATTAAAATTGCTTTTTTATGACATTTTTAAATCAGAATTACTTCAAAGAGTACAAAACATTTTTTAACTTCCCGTTTTCATAAAAAAATCCGATTCGCTAATTTCATGTTTTCTCGACGTTTCAAGCCATTCTGAATCGAATGAGACCAAATTTGAAAAAAGTATGTATGTGTATGTGTGTGCGTGTATGTGAACAGATTTTTTGCCGTAAATCGACGTTTTCTCAAAAACGTCGGCAAAAGCCATTCGATGTATCTCGATGAGGACTAGCGTTTCTGAGTTTTGAGCGATAATCGGCCGAGCCGTTTCTTTGTAAATTGCAGAAAAGTGAATTTTTTTTCGTCTACGTCTTCACCCGCAATTCTGAATCGATTTTGAAAAATTAAAAACTGTTCGAAAGATATTAGTTGGGGATGATGCTAAAATTTAAGCCGATTTTGATAGAACTTTTTAGGCGATATACATCATAGTCTTATAGAACTTACTGAAATATTACGGCCTTACGACAAGTAGTTTAATTTTAAAAATGCATCAAAGTTTGAGAAGAAAAAAATGAGTAGTTTTTTTGACGTTTGTTAAAATCAATATTAGGCGATTTACTTGGTATGATGATAGAGTACTTGGTCTTAATAAACATACTAAACCATTAAAGTTCTATAGAAACTAGTTCAATTATGAAAATGATTGATTTTTGAAAATTTGCTTTTTCCGAGTTAACGTGTTCGTTCGTTTTCAATGATGTGTAATAAATCAATTCGGAATACTTTTAATCACTCATAAATTAATTTATATATTATTGATGAAATCGATTATTTACACATATCGAGAAGTTCATGTAAATTGCCTCAAAGCAAATACCAATACCAACTATGGTTAATTTTTGCTTTTAAGCGTTATATGAAAGTTCAGTACAATTTTCTCAAATTACCTACACAGACTCATCGAGTATAATAACATATTTAAGGAATTTAATTAATAAGTTAATAATTGCAAATAGCACTAAATAAATGCCCCCAAAAAACATGACAAAACCACCCTTAAAATAAACTTTTGAAGGCGCAATTCAAGTTTGAACTGATTACTGCGAACTAATTACTATGCCATTGACACTTAACTTCTGACAGGATTGCGATTGCAGCTTTCTTCGGGTATTACAATCGCGAAAACGTTACTAAAACTAGCCAATGCTAAAGCCGCTGTGTTATTTCCCCCTATATGCAATATACAATAAAAATGCTCTTGTTTTAGAATTTTCATTCAACATTTTGAAGGAAATTTTGTAATAAAAAGACAAATGGAAAGTAGAATCGTATGTTCGTAGTGGTTATTAATTCGGAATATACTTTAGGTAGAAAAAGTAATTTGTATACTCACAAGTTTTATGCCTGCTAAGAAGCCACACTTCCAATGCGCTGTCGATGGTGCCACCTGACATAACAGAGTGGGCGCCCATTGGCACCGCCAAAGATGCCCTCGAGCGCGCCTCATTTGAACTGCGCAGAGCACGCCTACGTTCCTTGCTGCTCAGTGTACATTCCTTTTAATAAAATCATTTATTTATTAATACATTTTATTGTTGATACTGATAAAATCAGATTTTTCACACAATTAAATGAAATATGTAACGTTATAAAAACCAGAAATTAACAGTAATATTCAATAATAATTCTATTAATATGGAGATCCACTATAAAATATAGATGAATAGAAGTTATTACTATTTCTCTACCAAATCAAATAAAAATAGTTCCAAAACTATTGTTATGGAACATTGGTCCATTTATTGTTCATTATTTCAGGATAATTTTCTATAAAAAGTCCGGCGACAGTAACACCTCTGAGAATTTATTATTTACTTATTTACTTATTTTAAGAAAAGTGCCATGTTGCTAAGTAATTCTTGGCATAAATCAACGTAAACTATCATTAAAGCACATAAAAATGTGGTATCTCATGTCATAAATAAAACACAATTTAAATGTGTCCATATCTTACACCCAATAATCTTCACTTGAATCTGTATTTAATTCTTGTATGCTGCAACTAGCCCCAAGGTTTTGTTTCAAATAACCTCAGAAGTGATTTTTCTTATATTAACCAATATTACTATTTGAACAATTTAGCGATCACAAAAATGGATACACATTATCAAATATTGATAAATCGTGAGCAAATTAAGATATATAATAATTAAAATTAGTCGACAATAATAACGCAAACAAAATTTCGTGATAGTACAATTTTATATTACATATCAAAAATGACGGACCTGCACAGTTCTGTATATTGCGTTGGACTACGGCACAGTAGCTATGACAATATTATGCAGGACGATTTTCATGTTCAATCGAGAAAAAATATTTTAACAACGTTGAAGATATTAAGCTTCCCTTCTATCAATATGTTTTTATTTAACTTGATTTCTTGTTTTTGTTTGATAACTTAGAAATATTGATTTTGATATTGGAACAATCACTTGACTAGCAAATAATTATTACTTTTATGTAAGGTGACCATATTTTTTGAAGTAAAAACCGGGACGATAATTAAACCAGGACGGCGGAAGGGGTAGTGGTTTATTGGGAAAAATTTATTGTTATTTTAAAATAAATATTATTTAAGAATCCAATAAAATACCGTCTTTTTTAAATGAATCAACTTTTTTTAATCAGAGTTACTGACTAAGAACTTCAGCTTTTGTTCAAAATTTGTTTAATTTTCTACATAATTATTTAATAATAATTAGCAGTCATTCCAGGCAGTCAAAATTCATTTTCATAATATTTGTTCATTTTCGTAAAATTGAAAATAAAAGTTCAAAATAATGTGAGAAGCTTTTTTAACCCGTCTTGGGAATTTTGTATACAATTTTCTCATTCATAACGTATTGTTTCGTATAATTATACTATTTGTACGTAACATTTTCAGATATTTGATGGTAGTTATAATTTTATTATCAAGTAAGAGTTCAATTTTTATCCTATACTTCTTGAAACCCCGGGACAATCCGGGACAAAAGATCTAAATCCGGGAGAAATATTGCTCTTAGAAAATCCCGGGACACAAGATGGAAAATCCGGGACTGTTCCGGCCAAACCGAGACGTATGGTCACCTTACCTTTATGCAAAAATTAAAATTCAACATTAACTATAATTTCATATATGTGCTTAAATAAGAATGAAAAAAATACCTCGAGTAGCTCAAACCAATCTTCGAGTCCTTCAGCGGCCCTCAAGAGCACTCGTCCCTCACGTCCGACGTCCAAACAAACGGCGCTATAACTTTTCCGATTTAACCACTGTACGCTTAATACATCAACTAATTTCACCTGAAAAGATTTTAAATATTTTTAGCATAATATTGCATTATACGACACTTATTACAATTGTTTTATTATTATATACAGCAATCAGAACTTAAAAGTCCTATGAACTATTAAATCTTAACTATGTGGTAAAGGCAACCCCTAAAGCTGACGTAAATAAAATATTTGATATATCTTATTATTAGAATTTACCTTGTGATGTTTTACAATTCGATGCAGCAATATTGGAAAAGGGTTATTTTCACTTATCGTTAGAAACATATTTCAATTTATATTTTCGAATGATGTAACTTGGAGATATCAAACCGAGTGGGGTATCGAACCTGGAACCTTTTGCTTGGAAAGCCAGACCTCTAATCATTAACGACGGAAATATCAATATCCATAAACATTGCCCCCATAATAATTTAATTAAATCAGAATTCTTCACAGACGACTGCATGAAAGTGTTAATTCTACCAAGAACCTTTTTGATCTTGGTAGAATTTTCGTCTCGTGCACATTTTTTATAAAAATAATTTTATCAAATAATGTTTGTCAAATTTATAATATCTAGATTCATTCAACGTAGTAATGTTTATTAGTTGAAAAAATTAGACGCGTGACCTCGAATACGGAATACGGAACATTTTTATATGTGAAATATATGCATTATTCGAGCGTATTGTGTTCAAGCACAAATGGTAAATTAGCGTATAAACGAATCAAATTTTGATAATAAAAAAGTTGTATAAATATAAATAAGTAAAGCGATAATGCATAATTATCTATTGTTTCTTGAAGCAATCAAATTTTCACCGCAATCGGTATTCAAAAAAAAGTCTGTGTTCAATGATCATCAGTAATTATATCAAATCTATCAATTATGTTAAAGTTTTAAAAAGTTGCATAACAAAAGTTTGACTATCAGATTGCTACACCATGGATGATCCTATGACACCTGGGTGCTTTACCTTAAATATGAATTCTCCCATATTGCTGGCCCCACTGGTACAGCGCTTGAAACAATGCAAGTAATCTCGGGTGAGTACGAAATAACGTTCCTTCCATCTTGAGAACAGACGATCCCTCTGTTGCCACAGAAGGCCCCGTTTGATGGCTCCGCCCCGGGCCAATAGACTCTGGAAAAAGAAAACAAAAAATTAAGTTTTCGGTCATTATAATGGATTTCATAAGCACAAAATGAATTTAGACAAAATTGCATCGAATACTACTGACAGAAATTACAGAAATCCAAATTTGTGAGTGTGAGAGATAAACATGATTGGTGCATTGAGAGGCCAACTCTCGGATAAATTAGAAATGTTATGTCACGGGTCTATAATCATGTGAGTTGACAGTACCTTTTTGCATCGATTTATTGCCGATCAAAATAATATAATTGATAGTACCTAACTGTCTTTGACTCAACCTATGGCTTTGCTGTGCGATTAAGCAGTACTCTACATCTACTTCTGAAACCTAAACTCCAAAAGGCACAAATGTCAAATACCCATTTTATCATAAGTGCACATTTCTTGTCACTTTGGTAACACATACGTGAAGTCTAACTAAAGGTAATATTCTGGTGATTGTGCCTTTTGTAGGTTAAATTTTAGAAGTAGATTTGGAGTAAAACGCTTAATCGCACAGCAAAGACATAGTTTTTTGACAACTCATACGATTGAAGACCCGTAACATTACCTTCAAATTTTAACTGAGAATCGCCTTAATCACCACAAAAAAGCATTATTTCATCAGTATACGAAAGATTCTTGAACATTACCCGACCATTTTAATTCCGTATATTATAAATTCGACTTTTCTAGAAAAATCGTGCTCTGCTCTTTCGTATATTATTGTTGCGTGAACGTAATTGTTTGAATAAGTCCCATTACAGCGATTTCTTAAGAAGGTATTTTGCTTACGGTTATAAAGTGAACGATAGCAGGCTAAAAGTTCAGCCTTGACTCGTAAGTACATATGTACCTATAAAATATTGAGAAGCCGATAGAAATTGTAGTTGGTGGGATAATATTCAAAATTATATATTTTAGTGAATAATAAGCCGAAAATATTGAAGTATGGATAAGATATAGATTTTTAATATAAGATATAACATTTATTTATAATAAGGAAATATGTATCTATTAAAATTTAAAACGTTGTGGGTACACTGACCAAGAGTCGGCCAAAAAGCAAAACATGATGCTGATGCAAATATGTTATTAGAGGTTGTCGCAGGTTGTTCACACAAATATCTATCTTTTCATTTAAATCTGAATTGTGCCAAAACTCAAAAAAACGATCGAATTTTATACGTGAGATTTATTGTTATCTGGTATGAGCACATAGAAATAATTTTGTATTATCAAATTTGTCATTTAATTTTGAACACAATACACTCGAATAATGGTTATACATGCAAATATTCACATAAAAAAGGTTGAATAATATCCCGTAATCGAGGCCATGAATATATATTTTTTCACTAAAAAATTACTACGATAAATGAATTCAGATAATAAATTAATTTGACAAATATTACTTTATTTTTTAATTAAAATATGTCCATGTAGCATAAGATCTAGATTTACAAAAATATTGATGCTATTGAATAATTCAATGAACAGCCGCTTAAAACAAATTGATTTATTATAATATAGTAAAATTGAATATATTTAACTAAGATTATTGAATGTTAATGGATTAAATATTAAGTGAGCACTATAAGAAATCAGTATACACCATTAAGTTTTCATGATTCGAAGCTTTTACGTGAACGTAATCCTTCCTTTAGCAATCATGAGCTAATTTGCCAACTTTGAGAAGTTTGGGACGCGTGCACAGAATGAAAATATCTTAAGATCCCGAAAGAGGTAAAAAAGCAGAAGAATGAAAGTGAAGAGTTTCTGGAATCGCGAGTTCGCAACCTTTAAACGAACCTTTGATAATGACACAAGATGGTGTGGGACACCATAATCATTCCGTTCTGAAATGTCTTCTCCGAGGTGACTAACACTCAACGAGGGCTGTATAAACATATAGTTCGAGTGAATTGCAAATATTTTTTATTCCTTCTCATGCAGAAAAGTTGTAGAAGATTCAATATTATCAACTTTACTTTTGCAACGCATATTTAATAACTTTATATAAGATACATTATGTAAACTATAATAATGCTTAATAGGAATTGAACAAGTTTGATTCTTACAACTTGTTATTTACATTATTATTTTGCAATACTTAAAGAAAACAATATAGGGTAGAGCGGGGCTTGTAGGTCTGCCACCATTAACTCAAAGACAAGTATGAAATTTTTAACGATTCTATTTCATCGCCTTAAATCAGGCGACATTGCAAACCGGAGATAAACAAACTTATTACCTTTCTGATATATATCTGAATCAAATTTTTAAGTAATCGTTTTTAATCTTCTTATAAGATGCATTGTTATTTTTAAGTTAGATTCAACAGTTTTTGATTTTTAGTTATATAAATAACCTCTTACATGCAGTAGGGGTAAGAAGAACAACCTTACCCACACTGGAGTTAGAGTGTAAACAATAAGAAAATAGTAAATGAAAATGTAACATAAGTTAAAACAGCAATTTTACAAGAGCTAAATTGAATTAATAGTTATTCCAACTCTGATGAGGAAATCTTTAGACAAAGTTTCACACGAAAGTTGTATCCAATCTGATCTTTATAAGCAATGTCACCATAAAATATGTATTTTAAACACAAGTTGTATTTATCTTTTTTGTAATTATTGTATTAAAAAAAAAACAGTTAGACTGGTTATAAATTAAACACCTTCCTTGCATTTTGGAGCAGTGTTTTAGTAAAATAAAATGTTTAAATTTTTTTTACTGTAATTATATCGAATAGAAACAGTCTTATTTATCATTTTAGTATGTATTTTTTTTAAATTTTATGTTAACACGTCCAAGCATAGACGAAAGTATAAACAATAGGCAATAGTCAGACACAGACTTCTTCTATTTAGTGGAAATAAATTTATTAGAAAAGTTTAAAACTGTATTAAAATTTCTTATCGTCAATAAAAACATGTCAGGACTATTTGTTTTTCTCTGGTCTCTCGTCATTGCTGACTCTGATTCCACGATACCCCCTTTCCAGTGTGTTCGGACGTATTTTCGTTTTATTATATTGGCTATGAAAGTCACAACCTTCAGGGCATTAAGTCTTACACGGAATGGTTGCTACCCCTGGTAGAGTTGGTAGCGAAGTGTTTTGATTGAACTAGTAGTTGACTTCTGAAAGTAAAGTCCGCAAAACAACATGTATAATAAATAACGAATAAATAAATCTTCTTCAATTATAATTTAATGACAAATCAGTGATTGCAATAAGAACTGCAACAAATATATAATATACAAACAAATCAGTGTTTAATACGGTCCACAGCTACAAGGGTTAAATTATAGCCCAACAACCTGAGTATCGAAGGGGAGTTTTAATACATTTTATAACTACGTAACACATAAATACAGTGTTTGAGACAAACTCCTCGTAGGCGATCGAGAGCATACTTAGATTTAATGTTTCCTTATCAGGAAAAGATGTGGGGTGTTGCTATTAGCTATAGTTCAAGATCTTGGCGTACTTGGTTGGTGGTCAGAGCTAGTAAATCTGCTCGCGGTGACCCGAGGTCTGGGCGTACTGGATAGGTAGGCCCGCGGAAGACAGGTGGTCAGGACTAATAAATGTGTTAGTAATTACCATCAATTTCACCACAATCACACATCTAATTAAAATTTAGTTGGCGTTAATGATTCAATCCATTGCACAATTGTTTATATGATATGTTGTGATTATTAGTCAGCGCTTATTTGTAATGAGCGTTTTTTCGTCGGCGGTCACCAATGTAAAAAAAAAAGAGCGCGCGTAAGGTTCACACGCGATTGAATTAAAACTTATTTGCTACTATACAAGATGGCATTCAAGTAAAATAAATACATCATATAACAATTTTGAAAAATGTTCATTAATAATATGGTAACACTCGCGATGCGCACATTTATTAGTGTCAACCATTATACACATTTATATAATGATAAATTATATATATATATATATATATATATATATATATATATATATAATATAATAATATTTAAATTATTAGTATAATATTTAAAAACAATAATGTAATTAAAGTCATACTCCAAATATGACATGATCGGTTTGTCATTGCAATTAGCATTTAGAAATTAACCTTCATTAGAGAAATGAAGTATTTGCTGATTAATAAATTCTATAAGATTTGTTCACACAGTGGATTATGTTAAACAACGCCTAAACAAATATTGTTTTCGCAACTTCACTCATCATGTAATTGTGTTTGAAGAACTTCATGTAATTAAAATTGACATACATTCATCGACTGCTTTTATTTTTTTTTTCGCTGGCGATGTAATCTCATCTCTTTCTAAACAGCTGTAATATCTGTCTTGCCTAAAAAATATTTTCTATTTTAATAACTTCAAAGACTTCAAAGAAACTACGAATAATATAAAAATAATTTCTAATCAGTAAACTTACGGCACAAATATTTATATTTTTTTATTATTTTCAAGGAACAGGGTAAAATATTCTTCTGATTCAGACGTTTTTCATTAAATCAAGATTTGTACTACGATATTACTTTAAAATGTTTATTCATCTATGCCGATTTCCTTGTTGATATCGGTACGCATACAACGTTGACGCCGGTACGCAAACAATGACAGATCTCTTTTCACATACACGACGCCTAATCGTGATAGATCGAGAGCGAATGACGAATCATTGGCACACGGCTCTTATCTGCCGTAACGCACTTCCGTTGCATTTGTACGGATTTACACCCTAGTCGCGCCTAAAGAAGTTTTACTTCAATAAATATTAACTGTATTAAAATCTCTGATCGTTTACAAAAATATATGTCATGACTATTTGTTTCCACAGCCCTAGCGCGAGGCCGGTGGTATCATCGCACTGCATTTACTCTACACCAGTATCAAGAGGTAACGGAACGTGCGAGTATATTCACTGGCGGCAGTCTACGCCAAGGCAAGGCAAGGCAAGGCAGCCGAGCGAAGGAATCAGGAAAGCGCTCGCTAAAATAGATATCGTC